GAGCTGCCAACTCTGGCTGGAGAAATTCCTGGGGGTTGGGGGGGGCAGGGCCCGGGGAAGGCGGGGTTCAGGGAGGGGAGGGACCCCCGCAGGGCAGAAGGCCACAGAACCCACCCTTCGAAGCTGGCGGTTCCTTTAGGGGGGACGGAGCTGTCACCCACTCCAGGCCCCACCGGGAGGTTGGCAACCCGTGTTCTTTGGCTTAGGCCTGCACGGCAGTCCTCCCCCGGGAAAGGCACTCTGCACAGGCTCAGAGATCCTTCGGGACTGCTGCTTCCAGGGACCACCTGAGGATAAAAACCGGTCCGGGCGTCAGGCTCCCGGTGGTCTTGAGCAATGTTCCCTCTAAGCCGAGTGAGTGTGAGCTAGCTCACAGGTTTTTAGCCTCCGGCTCACACGTTTTTGTCTCAGCCCAGGAAGGAGGGCTCCAGAGCAATGTTCCAGTCTGGTGTCATGGTGAAGTGCACAGAGGACTCTAAGCTGGGAGAACCGGGTTTGATTCCCCCCTCCTCCTCCACTTGCACCTGGCTGGATGACCTTGGGCAAGCCGTAGCTCTGATAAGAGCTGTTCTTGAAAAAGAGCTCTCTCAGCCCCACCTACCGCACAGGGTGTCTGTTGTGGGGAGGGGAAGGGAAAAGGAGTCTGTGAGCTGCCCTGAGACTCCTTTGGGTAGTGAAGGGCCATGGGGTATAGATCCAATCTCTTCTTCTTCTTCTTCTTCCCTATAAGCCGAGTGAGTGTGAGCTAGCTCACAGATTTTTAGCCTCCGGCTCACACATTTTTGTCTCAGCCCAGGAAGGAGGGCTCCAGAGCAATGTTCCCTCTAAGGCGAGTGAATGTGAGCTAGCTCACAGGTTTTTCAGCCTCCGGCTCACACGTTTTTGTCTCAGCCCAGGAAGGAGGGCTCCAGAGCAGACTAATTGATGCCGTAGCCAAAACACTCACTCACAACTTCAATGCCCGTAGCTCACAAAGTAGGATTTTCGCTCACAAGGCTCTCCACAGCTTGAGAGGGAGCAGTGGTCTTTAGGCCCCTTCCAACTTTTGAATTCTGTGATTTGAATTCTGATCAGCCCCTCCCCCCCACCTGCCGGGCACACCTTGCCTGGGAGACTGGTGGTGCTGTTCATACGGGTAGGATGAGAAGAAGAAGAGGAAGAGGAAGAGGAAGAGATTGGATGTATCCCCCATGGCCTTTCACTACCCAAAGGAGTCTCAGAGTGGCCTACAAACTCCTTTCCCCACCCCTCCCCACCACAGGCACCCTGTGAGGTCAGTGGGGCTGAGAGAGCTCTGACAGAAACTGCTCTTTTTCAAGGACAGCTCTTATCAGAACTAGGGCTTGCCCAAGGTCATCCAGCCAGGTGCAAGTGGAGGAGGAGTGGGGAATCAAACCTGGCTCTCCCAGATTAGAGTCCACGCACTCAACCACGACACCAAACTGGCTCACAAGCATCTCTCCCCGGCTTCCCTTCCGAGGTCAGCATGTCAGAGCTTGGCCTTACTGGGTTAAATGTGAAGAAATTATCCGTTTGCCTTGGCAGCATAGAAGCTTTACACAGTATTAAGGGGGAAATGCCGTTCAGACAAATCACAAAGATGATCTGACTCCAATGGTAACGAGGGAAAGAAATTTCACTTGAATAAACAGAAGCACATGTTACCTAACACAAGACGTTCACGGAGGCACGTTTAAGTCACTGTGAGCAGATTAATTTCAAAAAGGTTAACTTGCGACACCTCCAGGCCCAGGTAAGAGAGAAGAAGCAGCAGCAGAAGACAAAAAGCGAGGGCGAAGGAGGCTCAGCATCAAACCGATGGGGGGGGCAACTGCCCGGTGTGTCCCCCAGTGGGAGAACTCTCTTAACCTTTTCCATCCCACATCCTCTTGCAGGCAGAGTTGCAATACCCAACAGGCCGTGCCCTGGAGAGATCGGAGTGGGTCTCTACTTGGCCAGGAGGCCCCTTGACAGCCTCCAGCCCGTCTCTCTCTGTTGCGACCTGCCCTCAGGATTGCGGGGATAGTGACGGGGGCCACCCCCTGCCCCCAGTTCAAAGAATCATAGAATGTCAGAGTTGGAACCGGGACCTTGCCGGCCATCTAGTCCAGCCCCCCGCACTCTGCAGGAGCGTAGCTGAAAGATAGCCCTACAACATACCCAAAAGATGGTCATACAGCCTCCGCTTGAAAACATCCAGCGAAGGAGCCTCCACCACCTCCCGAGGCAGTCTGTTCCACTGCTCAACCACCCTTACAGTGAGGAAGTTTCTCCTGATTTAGCCGGTATCAACTAGAGATGTAAAATTTCTGGAAATTTTGAAGCTCGGGAAAAAAACCCAGTTTTTTTCCGATTTTTTTCGGGGGGAAACGGAGATTTTCGGAAAAATTGAAAAAATGCTACATTAGCACTTCTTTTTTTCTTTTCCAGATTGAAAGTCATTCTGTTACTGTAGGAACATAAAATATGACTATGGACAATTTTACTTGGCATGAAATTATCACAACTAGCATATTAAAAATATACTGTATCCAAACAATTATTGTGGGTGGGTGGGTGGGTGAGAAGAACCAGATTAGTAGTAATTAAATTATTATTTACACAAAGGTTATAAAGATTAAACTAATGTAGCTAAATGATTCAGTTTTCTGGAATCAGATAAATGAAAACTCTTACCTTTTCCAAGTAAGTATATACTTTCAGGTCCTTTTTGTTGCTCTGTATTTTCTTCCAGTGCTTTGAGGCCTAGTGAAGCCTGAGTGCCAGCCTTTTTCTTTTCTTGTGACAACAGCACCTCCTAAAGGAAGAAATGCATCTTGTTCTTGCATTGGAGAGTTCAGTTTGTAACCTAGGACTTGCTTGTCCGCAGTGCACAGAAATTAGATCAATCTGATACCATACATATTTTTTTAGAAATGATTTGGAAAATATTTGAACACCTCGTCTTAAAATATTTTATTCATCATGTTAAAATAAAACGCTCCATAATCAATTTTTCTTTTTTTCATTTTTTCCCCATTTTTCAAATTTTTTTTTAAAAAGGCTTCAAGAAAAAAAACTGGTTTTTCCCCCGTTTTTTCCCCAGTCCTTTACATCTCTAGTATCGACTCCCTTCTAATTTCCACATCTCCTCTTCTGTCTTGCAGCCCAACTCTCCGTCCTCCGATGGTGCCCTCCCGCCTGCTGCTTCTGCCTCGCCTGCTCCGCTGGCCCTCGCTGACCCGTGCCTACTCGGCGGCAGGGGGCAACCCTGCCATGGAGAAGCCGGTGGGGGCGGCCATCCGGGCCAAGCTCCAAGAGGCCCTGCAGCCCGTCCACCTGGAGGTCATCGACGACAGCCACATGCACGCCGTGCCCCGGGGCTCGGAGACCCACTTCCGGGTGGTGGTGGCCAGCCCCAGCTTCGAGGGCCTCTCCCTCATCCACCGCCACCGGCTGGTGAACGACATCCTGCAGGAGGAGCTGGCCGGCCCGGTCCACGCCCTCTCCATCCAAGCCAAGACCCCGCAGCAGTGGAAGAAGAACCCCGCCCTCGGCCAGAGCCCCCCGTGCCTTGGCGGGTCAAAACACGACCCACACATGGCCAGCAAAATGGGGACGCGGGAGTGAAGTCCGCCGGAGGACGGGGGGCCCCCGGGAGCCGTGTGGAGGGGCCCGACCACCGTGACATCTCAAAGCCCACTTCCGCTGCTACCACACTGAAGCTTTGCCTCACCGCCGTTCATTGCGAGGAGGTTTCCTGGGCCCTGCCGTTTCTCTGCTCGACAGGCCGGCTGTCTGGCTTTTGCCACAGCAGAGGGGTTTGGCTTCCTTGAAGACGAACGTTCTGGGTCTTGTGCTTTCCAAAGCCAATTAAACCTCTCTGTCTCATGAAAAGTGTGGCTCTGGGCAGCTTTCATGGGAGGAACCGGAGAGCCCTTTCGCGAAAGGGGGCAGGGCGGGAGGGGGAGGACTCCACTTGTTTTATTTATTTAGAAGAGGTTGGATTTATACCCCGCCCTTCACTACCCAAGGGAGTCTCAGAGCGGCTTACAAACTCCTTCCCCTTCCCCTCCCCACAACAGACACCCTGTGTGAGGTAGGTGGGGCTGAGAGAGCTCTTTCCAGAAACTGCTCTTGAGAGAGCAGTTCTGAAAGAACGTATGACTGACCCGAGGTCACCCAGCTGGCTGCATGCGGAGGAGGACTGGGGAATCAAACCCGGTTCTCCCAGATTAGAGTCCGCGCACTTAACCACGACACCAAACTGGCTCTCTTATTTATTTACTCGATTTATGTCTCACCTTTCACCCCACTGGGTGGGGATCCGAAGTGGCTTGACATCATGTCTCCTCTCCTCTGTTTTATTCTCACGACACCCCTGTGAGGTAGGCAAGGCTGAATGTGTGTGCCTGGTATGAGGTCACTTGGCAAGCTTCCATGGCAGAGTGGGGATTCGAACCTGGGTCCCCCAGTTAACCACAACACCTTAAACTGCTTTGTTTGGCTGATTTGGGTCCAGGCGGTGAGCTCCATCCAAAGGGGCTCGGGCTACCCGCAGCTAAACCTGATTTTGGCAGCTGGAGCCTTAAAGGGAGGAACTGGACTGCTGTGGGCGGGGTGGTGGTGTTGGGCCGCCGGTCCCAAGACCCGGCTCAGTTCTGAGCCTGTGGAAGGCTCAGAGGCTGAAGTGCCCCGCGTGAAGCGGCTTGCTAGATTCAGTCACGGCCTCCAACAGTGCCAGCTCACCAGAGAAGCCATGTTGGGTCATGTCAGTGGCCCCTCCAGTCCAGCCCTCTTTGTCACACAGTGGCCAAAACCCAGGTGCCGTCAGGACGTCCACCAGTGGGGCCAGAACTCCAGGAGAACCTCCCACTGTTGCCCCCCCAGGCACCAAGAATACAGAGCTTCACTGCCCCAGACATAAGAACGTAAGAGAAGCCAGTGGTCCATCCAGTCCAACATTCTGCGTCACACAGTGGCCAAAGCCCAGGGGCCATCAGGAGGTCCACCAGCGGGGTCAGTACTCCAGAAGCCCTCCCACTCTTGCTCCCCCCCCAAGCACCAGGAAGACAGTGCATCCCTGCCCCAGACAGAGTGTTCCAACTAGACCTTGTGGCTAATAGCCACTCGAGGACCTCTGCTCCATAAATTCATCCTATCCCCTCTTGAAGCTGTCTATGCTTGTAGCCGCCAACACTTCCTGTGTCAGTGAATCCCGGGGTTAATGACTCCTTGGGTGAAGGAGGACTTCCTTTGGTCTATCCTAAGCCTACTGCTCATCAATTTGATGGAGCACCCACAAGTTCTTGTATTGTGAGGAAGGGACAAAAGTACTTGTTTCTCCCTCTCTCAAGCAGCCAGGACTCTGCAACAACTCTAATCACTTTCACACACTCCCAAACACAGTCCTCCCGCACAATATCCTCAGCTGAATCCCCTCAGCTGAAAGCAAGTAAAAAAACACCCCTCTAGCAGCTCTGTCTCCTACTCAGAGCTCAGCTGGGTCTGATAAAAGGATAGTACTTCTTCAAAAATAAAAGGAAGTCCACCCAAAGAGTGATTAACACGTGGAATTCACTGCCACAGGAAGTGGTGGTGGCTACAAGCATGGACGGCTTCAAGAGGGAATTAGATAAGCATATGGAGCAGAGGTCCATCAGTGGCTCTTAGCCACAAAGATATAGATAGGGACTCTGGGGCAAGTGATGCTCTGTCTTCTTGGTGCTTGGGGGGGTCAACAGTGGGAGGGCTTCTAAAGTCCTGGCCCCACTGGTGGACCTCCTGATGGCATCTGGAATTTTTGGCCACTCTGTGACACAGAGTGTTGGGCTGGATGGGCCTTTGGCCTGATCCAACATTGGCGTCTCTTATGTTCTTATGTTCTAACTTCTCTATCGCAGGCATAATTTTGTAAACCTCTTATTATGTCACCCCTCAGTCGTCGTTTCTCCAAGGTAAAGAGCCCTAACCTCTCGAAGAAGACGAAGAAGAGATTGGATTTATACCCCCGCCCTTCACTACTCAAAGGTGTCTCAGAGCGGCTTACAAACTCCTTTCCCTCTCCCTCCCCACAACAGACACCCTGTGAGGTAGGTGGGGCTGAGAGAGCTCTTGACAGAAACTGCTCTTTTTCAAGAACAGCTCTTATCAGAACTACGGCTTGCCCAAGGTCACCCAGCAGCTGCGAGTGGAAGAGTGGGGGAATCAAACCCCGTTCTCCCAGATTAGAGTCTGCGCACTTAAACACGGCACCAAACTGGCTCTCAAACCTTTCTTCACAGGGAAGGTATTCCATCCCATTAATAATCCTAGTTGCTCTTTTCTGCACCTTCTCCAATGCTATTTTTTTATTTACTCAATTTACCAGAACTGTAAACAGGATTCCCAATGAGGCAGCACCATCGATCTGTACAGGGGCATTCTGATACCGGCTGCATTGTGCAGGGGTTGGACTAGATGACCCTGGAGGTCTCTTCCAACTCTATGAATCTGTGACCCAAAATCTGCTTTTCTGCTGCCAGGACAGGAGCCCTTGCTCCCGTGATGCAGGTAGCTGTTCATGCTCAGACCGGGGGGGGGGGAGAGAGTACAAGGTCTTTAGTAGAAGACTCCGTCCTCCTGAGTCAGTGAACCCAGCACATTCGGTGTAGCCAAAGCAGGAGAAAGGAAGGTGTCTCGCAGCTGCACCTGATGAATTTTTGCCCGTCGTGCGGCTGTTGGAAGGCAAAGGGACCTCGTTGGGAAAAGCCCAGTGGCGTTCCAATTCCTCTGCAGCTTGCTGAAATCTGGAAATCCCTCTTTTGCTGAGCCAGCCGCTCTGTTTGCTCCTGCTTTTGCTTCCAGTTGGAGATGTTCTGAGTTTACAGATGGGTCTCTGCACGTCCAATCCCTTCCTCTCTGGCGCTGTGCTCTTACAGCGTGCGTGTAACACTCATGGATAGCATTCTCCTCGTGCTCTTTCACACATGCAACATTTACACACAGGCCGAGGGGTGCTTAACGCCTCAACAGCAGCACCTGCTCTCTCCTCCATCACCCCTTCCCACCAGCAGGCTGTAGCCCTTCTGTGCCAACAAGTGTTACATTCTCAGAAGATGGAATGTTGTTGAACATTCTTTACTGCCTCAGCTGCTGAGTCAAGGTCTTGGGAAGGTGCCTGTCAATCAACAGCACGCAGAAGGCTGCAAGAGCTGCAGTTGGAGGAGGTTTGGGGGGGGGGGCAGAGTTTATCCGGTTGTGGGACTGAAGAGCTATGGGTCTGCCTGGGGCACCACGGTCTCTCCTTTCCTTTCCGCCCCGTTCAGCGGTGCCAGAGATGCTTATCCAAAACAAAACACCATTCAAAAGTTGGCCAGGTGATTTTTAAAATCTTTTTATTTCATTTTTTTGGATCGTTTTTACATGGAGTTTTGTCGACTATGAGTTCATAACGCCGGGGGAAAAGAGTCATTGTGTGGCCGGTGACAAGACACAATTCCCCTCTCCCCACTGCACAAACGGCACACGCACAACCTCTCGGTTAAAGTCTCCCAATGGTCAATATGCGCACACGTCGTGTGTCTCCACCCCCAACCCCCCTTTCCCGCAAATGACCTCTTGAATTGCCGTACCGAATCGGCAAACCTCGACTTTTTATTTTCTGTTTTTTTATACAAAATGAACAAACCCAAGACCACAAACTGAAGTTCGGATCCCCTCCCCCTGATATTATTATTATTTTTCTTTTTTTGTACAAGTTTTTAAATTCTTCTTTACAAACATCTAAAAACTACGTCACAGCACAGAGTTTTGCATACAGACAGTTCTACGTATGTTGGTATGTTGGTTTTGTTTCAAAGACCAGCTACATCGTCGGGATGGAAAGAGACCAGTCGGAGGGACACTACTGGGGGAAGAAACAAATAACTGGGGAGGGGCGGGGGGGCTGCTGTTTGGATTGCTTGGGACTTTGAGACGTTCAAAAAGATGTGGATCTGTTCCCTTCCAGAGCTGCCGTTAATGGGACCAATGTGCGAGTTTCAGGGAGGCGGCACAATTTTTTTTTGGGGGGGGGGGAGGAATATAATCTCATTTCTAGTCTGGGACATGAAAGATGCCCCATTAGATCAGACCGACCTTGACCTGGAGGGCCCGGACGAGTTGGATTTCGTCAGATCTTGGAAGCGAACCATAGAGTCATAGAATATTAGAGTTGGAACTGGGACCTTGCAGGTCATCTAGTCCAACCCCCTGCACTCTGCAGGAGCAGAGCCAAAAGACAGCCCTACAACATACCCAAAAGTTGGTTGTCCAGTGAAAGGAGCATCCACCACCTCCCGAGGCAGACTGTTCCACTGCTCAACCACTCTCACAGTCAGGAAGTTCCTCCTGATATTTAGCCGGTAACGACTCCCTTGTGATTTCCACCCATTAGACCTAGTCTTGCAATCCGGAGCAAGAGAGAATAGATCCGCTCCATCTTCTACATGACAGCCCTTCATATACTTGAAGACTGCAATCGTGTCCCCTCTGAGCCTTCTCTTTCCCAGGCTAAACATACCGAGCTCTTTCAACCAAGGTCAGCTCTGGTCAGTAGCTGGACTGGAGACCCTCAAGGAGGGAAGTCCAAGGTCGCTAGGCAGAGGCAGGCAACGGCCAGCCCCCTCTGAATGTCTTCCCCCTAAGTCGGCTGCGAGGACACTTTCTCTTGCCTCGGAAACCCTACAGGGTCGTCAGAAGGCTCGGTGGTGGCGGTTTTTGCCACCAGGCCAGACGAACATGTGTCTGTCGAGCCCAGCTTCCCATTTCTGGGAGGAGAGCATTTGGGCGGGTTTCTGGAGGGCCGTTCAGAAGACCCCCGTGACTGGGAGAGGGAGGTCTCTCCCACTCCAGCGAATCACACAGTCTAAAGGCCGTTTCGGAGGACACGGCCGCGTCGGTCTTCCGCAGAAGTGCCAGGTTCAAGACCAGCCGCACCACAGAGACCCGCAAGATTTTGGGGTGTGTGAAAGCTCCCCGCGTTGGATATCTCAAAAGCCTTTACTCCCAAAATCTTGGTCTCTAAAGGGCGACTGGACTCGGACTGACCGCTCTCTACGGCTGGCCCACCCAGCAACCACACCTGGGTTTGATTTTTTCAATCCTTTTCCAGCAGGTCAGGGGGAAAGCGAAGGCTCCCTCCCCCCCTCCTGAAGCAGGCCTCTCTGAAGCCGCCTGTTCAAAATGCTCTTCTAAGCCGGCACTTCTAAGAACGGAAGAATAGTTCTCCTGGGCTGGACCAGGGCTGGTCCAGGGAAACCGTTGCCAGCGCGGTCCCCCCACGACACTCCGGCACAGCCAGAAGGGGATCAGCCCCCCTCCCCGTCCCCAGGGAATGAGTGGCGCAGGCTATTCCGTGGCTGACCACGGGAGGGACAGCCTTCCCTTTCGCGGATGGCCACCCTCCTCCTCCCCCAGCGCACTCGCAGGCTCTTCTCTTGCCACAGTTTTCAAACATTATCCAAAACATTTTTGGGCCAAGGCAACAGAGAAGCCTGGATCCTTGATCCCAGAGTCGCCCAGGGGAGGAAGAGAGACCCGGAAGACTTCCGCTGGGCTTCCCACGCTGACCCCAAGACCAAACTGGATTGAAAAGACTGAATGAGAATCTTCGCTTTTTTTCAGAGCCGGTTCCAAGCATTGGGTCGTCTCATCTGGGATGCCGACAGGGGCCCAGGAGGGACTGGCCGTCCCTTTTGGGGAGGGGCTGTGGCTCAGTGGCAGAGCACCCGCTTGGAATGCAGAAGGTCCCTGGTTCAATCCCCAGCACCCCCGTTAGGAAGGACCAGGCAGGAGGGGATGGGAAAGACCCCAGAGAGCCACTACCAGTCTGAGTAGGGAATGCTGACCTTGATTCAGTCAACGGAGGGTCTGATTCAGTGGAAGCCAGCTTCCTGCATTTGTGTCGCTGGTTGCTGGGATTGGATCGGAGCCCTGAGATGCGTCCGCACCCCCACACACACCCCGTTGTGCTTCCCCCAGGGGTTGTTTGGAGAGCTGGCCCCATTGCCTTCCCCCCCTTTGTGCTGATTTCTACTTGTGCTTGGCAGAGAGGAATGAGAACCCCTCTCTGGGCGGGAGCTCCCCACACTCCCAAAGAGCCCCCCCCCCGGGTTCAAGCAGAGGGGCAGGAAGATCGGCCAGAGAGCCAGAGGGAGAGAACCCTCTTTGCCTTGCAGAGACTCAAAGCCCCCTCGCCGGGTCAGCCTAGCGTTCTGTTTCCAGCATCCACTGGCGGGCATGAAGGCCATCCTCGGAGGTATACTACCCCTGTGCGTGGAGGCTCCACTTTGGTCCCGAACCTACTAGCAGGAGAGGCCTGCGCAGAGCCATCTATTCCTTTCCGAACACCACTTAAGCCAGTAGCTCTGGCCATATCTTGTGGCAGTGAATTCCCTGTGCTAACTAACCGGTCTGTGGCGAAGGGCCGCTTTTGGTCGGCCTTGGAGTGAAAGGACTCCAGCCCCGACCAGCCTCCTCTCACCGGATCTCGGAAGCTAAGCAGGGTAGGACCTCCAAGGGAGTCCAAGGTCACTACGCAGAGGCAGGCGATGGCAACCCACCTACAAACATCTCTTGCCTCAACCTGAATAGCCCAATCTCACCAGAACTCAGAAGCTCAGCAGGATTGACCCTGGTTAGTGTTTGGATGGGGGACTTCCGAGGAAGCCCAGGGGTGCTACGCAGAGGAAGGCGATGGCAACCCACCTACAAACATCTCTTGCCTCAACCTGAATAGCCCAGTCTCACCAGAGCTCAGAAGCTCAGCAGGATTGACCCTGGTTAGTGTTTGGATGGGGGACTTCCGAGGAAGCCCAGGGTTGCTACGCAGAGGCAGGCAATGGCAAACCGCCTCTGTTCATCTCTTGCCTTGACCTGCGTAGCCCAGTCTCACCAGAGCTCAGAAGCTAAGCAGGG